TAGTTAATTCCTTAATCAAGCCAACATGCTCATAACACATAATCATACACAATTTATTCTTAAATTTGTATATTATGCTCCTTTTTCTAATAGACAATAGTCTCCTCATTCATAGGCATTATTAATCATTAATAATCCATAAAAACACATCTAATTACCTTAGGTAATCTCATGAAATTAACTCACTAATTATAAGCAATATAGTCAGCCATCCTCACCTCAAGATGTGCTACAATAGTTGCCATTTCTAAACCCCTCGATCAATCCCTGTTCTAGGCCGATTGAAAGTGGAAATCCTGGACAACAGACGAAAGCCGACCGGCTTTTGCAAAAGGTGGGCGGCTTTCGTGGTCTGCAGCTACGAACAACTTCCTTTAAGTGACGGTTTCCGGCGATTTCAACTCCTATCGATTCCACGACTCTTCTAAGTTAAATATCACCACTTTATAACATTATTCTACACTTTTAAATGTGTAGAACTTCATGTTTAATCCACCATATGATTTCTTAAAAATCATACAAAATAATACTAGTTAAAGAAATACTAGTTGGGTTCTTACCTCAAATACAACCATTTTCTTTTTGGATTTTCTTTATTGATGTTTCCTTCAAGCTATTGACCTTTTTGAAGACTTTTCTCTTGAACTCTCTCACCCTTAGCTTGTTCGTATGGTTCACATGAGGGGGGAAGTATCTATCCTCAATCAAATGGCAAAATAATGCCAAGACAAGACATGGGTATGAGGTTTTGTCTCAATGAGGCTTCCTTGAGCCTAGCACGCCCCTCCCCTATCAAATTTGTCCCCCTTCCCATTTTGTTTGAGTCCAATTAGCTTGTAGAATACCCCAAGTGGGTGTAGGAAGTCCCCCCAATTATTCCTGCTATTTTTGGCAGGTTGGGTCAAAATAGCGCTCGGGTTGTCCAAATATTTTTATCAGCTTTAGTTGGCACTTTATTGGGCTTCTATAATTATTACGGTGACCCAACTAAATATTTTGTAGCTCATTCTCATTATTAGGGACCCGATAAATAATTTAATTAATCACGCATTAATTAAATATATCAATTCTGTTACACAATTTTATTCACTAGGAAATTCGAATACATATCAAATTTCAAATTCAAGTACATCCGGGTGCGGTGTCACATTTGAAGTAAACATGATCATACAACATTGTTTATTTTATGCGCCGCTTAATAATGTGGGACTTAATAGGCATCATTTAATAACTCGTGAAGTAAACGTGTCTTAGGGGCTATAGGGCACATAAAATTTGAGAGCTAGACAACTGCGAGAGACCGGGAGTGCTCCTAGAAGAGGCAAAAGACAAATAGTGTCGGGAAAATTGAAAACTCCTGCTCTATTGAGTACTACTAACTCTTTGACTATTCTATATTTTGTATAATTTGTATGTTTTTTAAGCCAATACATCTTACCTCCTAGCTTGGGCAAACAAATTAGTTCAAACAAGCTACTTGCTAAAAAAGAGAGAATTTAGAATTAAAATGGTAATTACCAAATATACTTAATTTATTTGAAATTAGGTTTCAATTTCATCACAGTTAATTATAATAGAAAATGATTTTTACATCGCGTTTACAATATTGTAATTAATATACTAAATTAATTAATAATGCAATGGTAAAGTTAGCAACACAACGGTAAAATTCTGAATTGAAATTAGGTTTCAATTTCATTACAGTTAATTATAAGGATTGATGATTTTTACATCGCGTTTACAATATTTTCTCTAGTCTATCTTTTTTTTGGTGGAGAGCAAAATTTGAATTGTTATTGTTTAATTTAGTATATTTATTTAATGTTTTGTTTTTAAAATTTTAAGAAATGTTTAATTTTCTCATGAAATAATTAAATTTGATATTTTCATTAATGTGTTAAAATTTCTTATTCCTTATTTTTTTTACTTAATAAAATACATATTTTTGTATGAAAATGATGAACTCATGTGTCAATGATGAACTGATGAAAAAATGAATTTTATGAGAATATTAATGTGTTGTGTGAAATATTTCCTGGAGTGTCTGGTCGACTGGTCCAGAGGATAAGTGTCAAAGTCTCACATTGCTCTAGTTCATTAAAGGGAAAGTTCCCGAAATAGGACTAAAACAGTTTGAAAATTCCAAAATAGGACTGTCATGTTTTTTATTCCCAAAATAGGAGTAATTACTGCCAAGTTTGGAAAATACTGCCATGTTTGAAGTCTGGTACTGTCAAAACATGGCAGTAATTAGTCCTATTTTGGAAATAAAAACATATCAGTCCTATTTTGGAATTTACAAACCTTTTTAGTCCTATTTTGGATAAATTCTCTTCATTAAATGTGTATTTTCATTGACATTCTAGTTTTTTTTCCTTAACATACAATGATACATTTAAAAATTTACAATGATGAACTGATGAAAAAATGAATGACAGCAATATCCAGACGAAGTGTGGTCGTGAGAAGGGGTGTTAAAGTGTCACACCGCAAAGATGTGAATCAACAAAGTGCTATATTAAAACACGTGATACTCTTCTTATCAAGTTAATCTTGTAGGATGGAATCTCATGTCTTAACAAAATTAAATTAATTAAAATTTAATCTACATGTAGAATTCTTTTATACCAATAGAAGCATAATTTACAACAAGTTGTTATACACTGTACTACGTAGTACGTAGCGCTATTTATTACTCCGTACTTCACACAAAACAATTTTATAGATAGTACTCCATATAACATATTCCCTTTAATTTTTTTTGACAATTCTTTCTAACATATTAGCTCCGTCCTAAAAAACTTTGTCATTTTCAAAATTTTGACTGGCTATATCTTTTTATTGAAAATGATTTATAATATAAAAGTTATATGAAAATGTTCTTTGTTTCATAAAAGTATAAATTTATAACTTACATAATATTATACTAATCAAAATTAAGGTTCAAATTTTTGAAAATGGCAAAGTCTTTTGAGACGGAGGTAGTATATAGTATCTGCTCATTGTTAATGCCAACATCCTTGAACTGGGATGAGAATCGAACATGTGACCTCCTCATCAGATCACAAGGTACTTGGCAATTTTTTCTTACTCATATCACTTTAACAATTTCACCTAGCTTCTCTCATCATCTTCCCAATTGAATGAACAGTCATCACCAGCTTTTGAAGATGAAGACAGACGAATGAAGGGAATTGAACTTAGAAGAAGCTAGAAGGCGCCAAACAGTTGCTGCTCTGCCCTCCCTGGTTCCCTTGTTTGGTAAAACAGCTCCGGCCCTAGCCCCACACATGAAAAATCCCCAGATCGTGGGCCGAAGCTAAGCGCTGTTAGCTCTAGCCATTAGCTTACGGCGTGTCACTGGGGTTTCACTTTTTTCCTCTGCAGACCATGTACACCGCACTTTGTCCGCAATTAAGTTTCTAATTCGTAAGATGAAGGGTAAAATGGGAAAGCAATGATCAATTTTAATTATTTTTTAATCTTTGGGCCGGTCTACTTTTGCAATTCAATTCACGATGGAGGGGTATTAATTTAATACATTTTTTCATGATAACTCTATTTTATTGTGTCATGACTCTCTGTTCTAAAAATCGTTCTAGGCGTCTGACTAGTTCCCGTCTAGGCACTAGGCAGTGGTCAAGTGCCCCGATTTTTGTTTAGGCGCTCCAACTAATTGGTTTCTCTTCTAGTTGCCCGTCTAAAGCGCTTAATCGGCCGCCTAGGTTATACGTTGTCTAGATTCGCCGAACATTACTTTACTTTTCAATTTTAATATTCTAAACGATATATGTACTTTAACTTTAGCCATGGATATAAAGAAATGAAGTTTTAAATTAAGATAAAACTATATATGTTTGTATATATACCTAAATTTTATCATTAATTATATTTATACTATAATGAAGTTAAGTGATCAGTTATCATATACTACATATAATTAAATGTGAGAATTCTATCTTTCATGTTTGTTATTATATATGTATATATGTATTTTATACACACAAAAAACAACATTACTTATCATATTTATGCAAAAATATAGATAAAAATGCAATTTTTATGTCCCGACTAGTCCCCGACTAGGCGCCCGCCTAGGCGCTGGGCTGGCGCCCGACTAGAGCCTAGCGCCTTTTAGAACATTGGTCATGAGTCCCCTATTGAAAATATTGATATGCAACAACTACAATCGATCAAAGTAGTTCCACAATGTGACAATAATAGATGTGGTATGTTCCGAATATTTTCAAATAATGTAATTCTACCCTTTGTGATATATATTTTTATTTTAGATTTTTAATGCCAATTATAAGTGTTGTTTTTGCATTATCTATATATTATAAAATTGAGAGTCACATTGACATGTGTCATTCTATTATTTACTATTGCCATATATGTGTCACTTCATTATCTACTATTAGCCACATGTCACTCTATTACCGTTATTATCATTTCTATTTAATTACTCCGTATTATTTGTGTTTAATATGTAGATTCCGTTTCATATATATACGGAGTATATAGCTTATTATAATAATTATTACTAATAAAAAGTTTAACTTTTTTTTTTTTGAAAAAATAAAAAGTTTAACTTACGGAGTGAATTTTGGTCAAAAGAAAAACTTACGGAGTGAATTCAAATGAATTCTTGAAGATGACTGCGTTTTTAACTGCGTAGTTATTTTCAAGAATTCATTTGAATGTCTTCCCGATTAAACTTTTAGCTGAAATTTGGTATGAGTAAACTAGACTTAATGAATAAGTTGCTCAAAAATTTAATCAAAAAATTCCATCGGGAACCGCCCCATATGGTGACGGCCAGACAGAGGCTTCTATAGAAGCTTCTATATGTGAATATGTGAAGTAGTGCAGAACGACTCATCCATCGTCAAATAATGGCTTACTTTAAGCAGCTTGCCCCCTTCTCCGTCTTGGTCGTCCCTTCTACTTGTATTTAAGGATCAGGGCGGTCGAATAAATTTATATGACCACAACATAAATGAAAAATAAAATCATTTATTTATACTCCGTATAGGCGTATATCATTATCAAAAAAGAGTTCCAAACCAGAATGGTTTCGAATTGGAATAGGCAAATAGTAAGTCTTCCATTTATCAAATCCAGCTCATCCCATATACAGATATACGGAGTGCTACGCAAGGTTTTAAATAGCCGTAGCGGCAGCGGTAGCGGTGGCGATAGCGGTCATCGCGGTAGCGGTCATCGCGGTAGCGGCCTGTAGCGGCCTGTAGCCGACTGTAGCGATTGCAGCGGCGTGAAATATTTTCAATTGCGCAAAACATATATTTAATGAGTGTTGAAGTTAATACAAACATTATGAATATTTGTTTTAACACTTATAACATTAACAACTAATAAACCAATAAGAATATGACAACTAAAAGAGAATGATAATTAAAACGATTGGTAAACTGAATAATTTATTACAGACACAATGAAATTGTCTTCAAACTAAACAAGTCTTAACACATTTTTAAATTAAATAGATTGTTACATTAAATGATACGTTACAAAAAGTTTCAAATACTACATCGTCACCACCTACAAATGCATCTTCAGTGCGAACTTCCCTTCAAAAAAAACATGATAAGTCAAATAAATTAATAAATCAAAAATAATAATAAAAAATAGTTATAATAATAATAATAGTAATAGTAATAATAATTATTAAAAGAAATGTAGTAACTTACATTATTCTTCCTACCACATGGTGGAGTGGCGTGGGGGATCACAACCTCTGCTTTCACTCTGACCATCATCCTGATAATATCCTTGTATGAAAACATAATCATATAATCCACCACTTGTTTCTTGGTAATACGGATCTTGATATGTGGATGGTTGGTAGTATGAAGAAGCTTGATCATTTCCATATTGATCATAAGAGGTGACATTGGGATACTGATCAAATGGCACATAATAGTGAGTACTACTGGAAGATTCATCATTACCACTATAACCGAAATTCGTTCCAACACTCGAATATGATGCATCATCTAATGGAACATTATGATGTCTGTTTCCTCTTCTCCTATTCGACCCGGTTCCACTGCTCTCGCATAATGAAGGATGATCGGTAATCATATCAATTAAACTCCTATAACGCCTCGTGGGTTGGAAGTCTGTCTGAATCTCACTCGCAGTGTCATCATTACCATCATTATTGGGGTCCCCGAATCCTCCATTACCATCATCACCATCACCATCATCACCATCATCATCATCATCATAATCATTTCCGTCTTCCATATCTTCATCATCGGTGTCCATCAAAGGCAACCATGAAGAATTTTGCAGTCCGTCTAATAATGGATTCTCCCTCTCTTCAATCCATGGAGATAATGCATCACTTTCTTCGAAAATATAGTCAAGATTAATCGGATTAAAACTCTCCTCGATTTCTTCTTGACTTCTCCTCATCTGATGTCTCATTTTAAGCTTCATGTTGTACTGGGTGAAGACTAATTTTTGCAACTTCTTATACTTCAATCTGTTCCTGCTCTTGCTGTGTATATAGCTGAATGTGCTCCAGTTTCTCTCACAATTTGTTGCTGACGTTGTTTGACTTAACTTTTACGGCAACACGTTTAAGTTCTGGAGCACATGATGGTACGGAGTAATTTAAATGTTTTAATAAAGTAAGATTAGTGTCCTTATTAAACAGTATTTAAAAAAAACGAATAGAACAATTTATGTTAAGTCCATTTCCAAATTAATAATAATACATATTTGTGTTCCATTTCCAATTTCATTTGCATAATCCATAATAATACCATTACCGTTCCAAATTGTTTTGTTAATTCAACATTTTTTTCGTCAATCGATATTAAATTTAAATCATCTTTATTAATAATTAATTTGCCTTTAATAATTATAATTTACATGTGTATTAATATTTGCTACCATAATGTAGATAGATGTACATTTCATTTGGAGTTTCACTCCACGCATCACCATTAATGTATTTTTTCACATCATTCACACAACATAGACACATTTACACATCAACTCGTTCGTGACGTACTGCCGGAAATGCCAATAGCGGGCTGTAGCGGGTTGTAGCGGGCGTCGTAGCGGATTTTTCCCGTGATTTGAAAATCACAACGAAATAGCGGCGCGTAGCGGTAGTGGCCCCTACCGCAACCGCTATATAGCGGCCGCTATAGCGGTAGCGGGCCGCTATTTAAAACCTTGGTGCTACGTATTAGATTTATTAATAACTCAACCCTCAATCATTCCTACCTCCATCAGACCGTAATGTTGAGATCTTCACAATTTGAAAGTAGGTGAGATAATGCATAGCGAAAGTGAATATAAATTATTGAGGATATGATAAGAATATAATGAAATAGTGTGATGGGAAAATCGTTAGAATTCAGAAAGAAATGTGAGAACATTGGAGCCTATGGGTATGTTTGGCAAATGGCTTATCAGCCGGCTTTTAGCTTGTTTGACTCATTTCAACTGTTTGATTAGTCAAAGAAGCTAATAATGATGTTTGGTAAATGGCTTTTAAAATTAGCTTGTTGAGTTTGAAAAGCTGAAAAAATGGATTGTTGAAAAAGCTAAGGGGGACAGCTTATTCATTCGGCTGGTTCAATTTACACTCTATCAGCCATTTCGAAACAACCAATTTTACCAAACAGTTATCTATAATCAGCTAAAATAACCAGCCGGTCAAAACAGCTAATACAACCAGCTGTTAGGAAACAGCTGACACAACCAGCTAACAACAACGGCTAACAGCCATTTGCCTAGCATGAAGGTCATGTAAGGAAATAACACAACAATCCAAAAGGCTTTCACAGTACAATACTGGTAGTACTCCGTAGTGCGTTAGTACGTAATAAAGGTGAAGTAGTGCAAAACGACTCATCCATCGCCCAATAATTGCTTACTTTAAGCAGCTTGCCCCTTGTCCGTCTTGGTCGTCCCTTCTACTTTTATGCAACGATCATGGCTGTCAAATAAATTTCAATTGCCTTTTTCGAAATAATTACATATCTTTCTTGCTATTTTTTGAAACAAAACCATTGATCAAATCTTTATAATCAATAATATAAATGAGTAAATGTTAGACCGGAAATTTAAGATCAGAGTAACTTCAATTCAAAACTAAAATGAACAATAAAAATAAACCTAGCTAACTGGTGAAATGAGAAATTTACTCGTAATATTAACCTAATAGCTAGAGGAATTTAAAAGAAAACTATAATCTAACAATAATATAAATTTTAGAACTACTGATTACGTAGGGAGTGTATTATAACATAAAATATTTTATGATATTAGCTATATTGCACTACTACTAAGCTAGTCACTACTTTTCAAAAAATGGGGGCAACAAAAAATGGCGGACCCTATCTCGAAAGAGCTCTCAGTCTGTCAATCCTTGCCATGTCTGGATTAAGCCGCAGGCTCCACTCCTGGTGGTGCCCTTCCGTCAATTCCTTTAAGTTTCAGCCTTGCAACCATACTCCCCCCGGAACCCAAAGACTTTGATTTCTCATAAGGTGCCGACGGAGTCCTAAAAGCAACATCCGCCGATCCCTGGTCGGCATCGTTTATGGTTGAGACTAGGACGGTATCTGATCGTCTTCGAGCCCCCAACTTTCGTTCTTGATTAATGAAAACATCCTTGGCAAATGCTTTCGCAGTTGTTCGTCTTTCATAAATCCAAGAATTTCACCTCTGACTATGAAATACGAATGTCCCCGACTGTCCCTATTAATCATTACTCCGATCCCGAAGGCCAACGTAATAGGATCGAAATCCTATAATGTTATCCCATGCTAATGTATACAGAGCGTAGGCTTGCTTTGAGCACTCTAATTTCTTCAAAGTAACAGCGCCGGAGGCACGACCCGGCCAATTAAGGCCAGGAGCATATCGCCGGCAATAGAGACGAGATGACCGGTGCACACCATGAGGCGGACCGGCCAACCCATCTCAAAGTCCAACTACGAGCTTTTTAACTGCAACAACTTAAATATACGCTATTGGAGCTGGAATTACCACTGATAATGATAGAATCCTTCTTTTCAACATCATAATGTTAATTAATAGTTCTCATAGTCATAATCTCGCTATCATGCAAAATTTTGCTATTCTCATAATTTCATAAATTAATTAATTTTTTATTCAAACTCAAATACAATAAAAGGTCGATATTTAGAATGTCTAAGTAAGTTGTGTTTATAAATTATTTTATTATATTCTTTTCGTATACCTAAATGGCTACTTCTTTTCATAAGGATAAATAAAAATAGTCTTACTTCCTCCGTTCTTTTTTTAAATGCAACAGTCCACTTTTCATGTTTGTCAACGCACAAGTTTGACCATTAATATCTTTCATTTCTTATTAGTAAAAAAAATTAGATTTTGAAAATTTGAAATGAGAAGAATTTAATAATATTTTTTAAAAATTATTTTATATTACAATAATAAATAAATAAAATAGAGTCAAAGTAGAACACATGAATAGTGGAAAAAGTCCAATGTTGCATTTAAAAAAGAACGGAGGGAGTACGTATTAATTAGAAGCATAGGTATTGTCTTTACATTTTGAGTAACTTCTTATACTTTGTGTGTGTGTGAAAAACAAATACGGAGTATGTTTTTTTTTTAAAGTTGCTTTGAATGTTAGGATGAATAAGTCGTATTTGTGCACATGCAAAAGTTTGATTGCAAAAGTTTTTGTAGTAAATGGTTGCAAAAGATTTACAAATGTGATTTTCATCTTTTTATTTAAAAATGAAATTAGTGTTTTCAAGTGACAATTCTCACGCTGTTTTTAATCGATTTTCATATCTTTGACGGTCCAGAATTACTTTTGAGATAATTAAGATTCAATTCCAAATTATCTTTGACTCATGAGTATGGTCTTGTTTTCAGCATATTATAGTTTGGTACATTCTCCCAGGCATCTCCAAAAGTTTGTAAGCACTTTATTCTTGTGCAACATGATTTTATACACGACAGTTTTAATTTTCTATTCACTTAGCCCATTCTTCATCAATTTTATTTTCAAGTTTGGCACCATTATTAGTAGGTCTAATTTGCAAGGGATCTAATGATGTTTTCAATTGGACTGTAATTTGTTGGTCTGATCTGGTCTGATTTCTTTGTATTTTTATAACAATCCAAGTATGATCTGGTCTGGTCTGATGTGGAACAGATTACAATACAAGTAAAAACATCTCAAATCCACGTATTGTAATCCGAGGTTTACGCATATATATGGTAATTTGTGGAAGGGAACGTAATCATGGTATCCATAATGATTACTCCAAGAAATTCTTTTAGTTTAGAACTTAAAATATAATTTCCCAACTCATCCATAAATTAGTAGAAGAATTATTAATAACTCAGCCCCCGATATAATCATTTACTCTCTCCATCCCAATTTGTTTTGCAATGTCAATAATTTTTAGTCAATCAATAATAAAAGTCAACCCTCCTTATAGATAATTAATTCAGTTTTTAATAATTAAAATTTACATATTCATAAACTACATTAAAATCTTTTCAAAGTTGTAAACTCCAAATTAGAACATAATTAAAAGTTTACATCCAAATTAAGTGAACAAAATGAGACTATTTGACTAAGAAAAGTCAAATTTGCATCTCTTTTTGGGACGGAGGTAGTATTAACTTTATGCCGACCAAACATGCGATGAACGTCATTGCAGCCTATATATAGCCCAGCATGAAGCTCAAGGAAATAACACAACAATCAAAACAACTCATCCATATCATCGTCAAATAATGGCTTACTTTAAGCATCTTGCCCCTTTCTCTGCCTTGCTCGTCGCTTCTTTTTGTAAGTTAACAATGGGTTACGTTCCTTCTATCTTAACTCTCCATCATACAAAACTTTGCTATATTTTCCTAGTTCATTACTTCATTAGTTAGATTTTTAAAGTTGCTTTGAATGCATTATATTTTAAGATGGAATATTTAATTTAATTAAGAAACAGTACGTAAATTAAACGAAGTTGAACGGATATAGATAGTATTTTTGTGCACATGTATGCATGAATTAAGGGAGTGACTGCTAATTTTTTTAAATGTGTTTTGTATCATGTGACACAAACCGTTGAAATTGATGTTTTGAAGTAACACATAGAGTCAATTCCCTAAATAGGACTAAAAAGTGGCAAAATTGCACAAATAGGACTAAATTTTTTAAATTCCCTTAATAGGACTATTTATGTGTGTTTGGACAAATATACCCTTGTAACTTATGAAATGTTTTAATTAATAATAAAATCATAAAAAATTAATAAAAATCGAAAAAAATACTAAAAAATGTAAAAAATAATAATAGAAAATTAATAAAAAATATTTTTTAAAAAAATAAAAAAAAAATCATAAAATTAAAAAAAAAACATTACCACCCCTGCCACCCCCAGCACCACCAGTTCCCATCACCGGAGAAAAATATGCCAACATTTTAAATAATGCCATAATGATGGCATATTTAATGAAAATGTTGGCATATTGAAGAGTAATTATGCCATCTTTTTGGCATTTTCAGAAAAATATGGCATTTTTTTTACCAAAAGTGGAAGAAATTTCACCAATCGGAGGTGGTGGTGCTGGGAGGCGGCGGGAGGCGGTGGGAAAGGTATCCATAATTTTTTTCATTTTTTATGGATTTTTACTATTTTTTATTATTTTTTAAAAAAAATTAAAAAATTAAATTTTTTATTTTATAAATGGCTTATAAATTTTTATAATTTTTTTACGTTTTTTAAATATTTTTACGTTTTTTATGATTTTATTATGAATTAAAGCATTTCTTTATAAATTAATACTCTTAGGGGTATATAGGGTAGAAAATCAATGTTTAGTCCTATTTAGGGAATTTTAAAAGTAGTAGTCCTATTTGTGCTTTTTAGGAACTCATTAGTCCTATTTAGGACAATTTCCGAAACTCCGTATTATACTTAAAATATGCATTTTATTTAATGTGATCAATTCTTTTTTCAAATTAATTCCAATCAAAACAACATCTATAGCATAAACCTAGGGCTGGGCAAAAGACCCGGTCCCGTTGGTCCGTTCTGGAACGTTCCGGTTCCGTTCCGAAATTGTCCCATTAAATTCGAACAAACTATTTTTGTTCCGTTCCGGTCCCGAACCGTTTCAAAACAAAACGGGACCGGGACAAATAAAATATGTCTCGTTCCGTCCCGTTGTTCCGAATTCAAATACTAATGAAATTAATTAGGTATTAGTTATCTAATATGTAGAACACATAAAGGAGACTAAATTATCGAACTATCTCTACATACTAAAAAGAAACTCACATATACTCCCACGTGTTTCACTTTTAATAATATTGCTTGTCTTTTTTAGTTTTGCAGTTTCTTAGTAATATTGCGTGTGTTGGAGTTATTGTTGTTGTTGTTGTTACTGTTTGTTTCGTGCAACTATCCTATTAATCTACTACTTTTTTGTGTTGCATTTATCGTAATTTTTTTTATGTGTTGCATTTTTAGTGTCGCAGTTTTTTGTCATGATGTTTGTTTATCGTTTTGATGTGTTTTTGGGGTTGTATTTTTTCGCTGCAATTTTTTTGGGATGTCCCGAACCGTCCCGTTCGGTTCCGGTACCGGTTTAAAAGGGACAATAGCGGGACAACGTCTTGTCCCGTCCCGTTCTGTCCCGTTATCCTAAATCGGGTTCGGGACCGGTATAGTCTAATTCCCGTTCCGTCTCGTCCCGTGCCCACCCCTACACAAACCTATGAGCTTTAAACTGTTTTCACCATTTCTATTATACAAAGTCTTTATTTCCGAAGCACATCCAAGTGACATGGCCGGTCCTAGGGGAGGGCAGCAAGGGCAATCGCCCTAGGCCCGAAAAAAAGTAGAAAGAAAATTAGGCCCAACTTTTTTTATTTAGAATTTCAATTAATTAATTAGGTCTAATGTGTAATTTTTCATTTTTGTTGACAATTTGAGAATTTTAAAACATAAGTAAAAAGTCTTGAACAAAGCTAGACAAGTTTTTAAAAAGAATATAAATTTAGTTTTGATTTTTAAATAGAGTTGGTTGTAAGTCAACACATTTGTTGTTGAATCAATAAAAGCACGTCTCTTCACAACTTTTTAGCCTTTAAGATTTTAAGATTTTTTATTCTTTTAATTATAAAATTACCGATTTATATTAATGTCTTTGGGCTGCCGGTGCCTCCCAATTCTCAAACATCATCTCAATTATCAATGATGCCTCAAAAAACTTAATGGATTAGCAATGTTAAACATTGCACATGTGATCTTGGAAAAGATTGATTATAAAGCAACTATTTATGATTTCACTTCACAATGTTCTTTTGTGATATGTGTGTTGTTACTTTTGTCCAAATATGCAATTCAAATAATATGAAGGTGAATTTCATCTTTATTTTATAACCTTTATTAGATAGTTGTAAGGAGAATTCCTGAAATATTGAGAATTTTAAAATAGGACTGTCATGTGTTTATTTTCTGAATATGAGTAATTACTGTCATGTTCGGAAAATACTACCATGTGTAAAATATGGTACTGCCAAAATATGACATTAATTACTTTTATTTAGAGAATAAAAACATGATAATCTTAGTTTAGAATATACAAACGTTTTTAGTCGTATTTAGAGTAATTTCTCCTAGTTTTATTATACTCCGTAATTTTTACTTTAAGTAAGTATGGAGTATAATTTACTGTTTGTCTTGGAAATAAGACCAAAATAGTATATCACCCATAGGCCCAAAACTGGGCAGGACCGGCCCTGCCAAGTGACCCAACATTTTCTTAAAAAAAATATTTTTAAAAAGTAGAAGCAATAGAAAACACTTCCTAGTCCACACGCAGCTAGTTCATTATTGTCACTAATTTACATAATTAACCGTATGTATACTCTTCTATTATTGTTAGTAATGATGACGACAATGTTCGGGATGGGAGCGGCGGAGTGCAACGGTCACTCAGTTTGTTCGCCGTTCGAGATGCCGCCGTGCGGCGATTCAAATGTGTGCCGTTGTATCCCTTGGGGACTGTTTGTTGGGCAGTGCATATACCCAAACTCACTGGAAGTTGCAAAGAAGATCGAGGAGCACCCCAACCTTTGCCAATCTAGCGGCGAATGCATGAAGAAGGGAAGTGGAAACCACTGCGCTGCTTTCCCCAATCCAGAGATCCAATATGGGTGGTGCATTAATAATTCCTCCGATGCTTTCAACGGTTTCCTGAAGATGATGCCCGCCCAGCAGCTCTAAGGTTTCATTCCACACGAACCAAACGCGGCCCTATATGCATGCATCTATCCTAAAATAAATATGAGCGTCAGAGCGTGTAATAAAGTTTGTCTACTATCCGTTCATCAGCTCGACAATTTGAACCTACAGATGCAATTTGTCGTTGCAATCTTAGTGGTTATTTAAATTTCAAATTTCAATGCATGCTTTCCACTCCAATCTCTCTACTTAGCTTCTTCTTTAAATTGAAAAACTTACCCAAATTAAAACTAAAACATACTCTATCCATTTCAAAATGATTTAGAAAGTCAACTTTTTTGTCAATACAGATTTACTTTAAATACGTATTAAGCATATCAATTACTCCCTCAGTCCCGAAAAAGTTTGCCAAATTGACTATTCTTGATCAATGGCATTCAACTGTGACTAATGATATTTTTTAATACGAAAATATTTGGAATATAAAAATTATATCAAAATGTTCCTTATGCAAAATATTTTCATGAGTATAAAATTTATAACTTAGCTAGGAAACATTACTATTAGGGGGTGTTTGGAACTGATTCTGCTTCTGCTTCTTTTTTAAAAGCAGAAGCAGAATCAGAATCAGTTTTCAGAAGCTGGTACCTCCCAGCTTCTAAAAAAACTGGTTCTGAGAGTAAATTAGAGCTCCAGAAGTGCTTCTGGAATTTCACCCAAACACTCCAGCTTCTGCTTCTGCTCCCTAAAGGAGCAGAATCAGTTTTGCGAATCAGACCCAAACACCCCCTTATTCTGAGAAAAAAGTCTCTCTCTAGGGCTAGCTGCCGCTAGGGTTGTATCTCCGATTTAGATCTTTCTCGATCGAAGATCGGCTTTGTCTTCTTGGTTTCGTCTTCAAGAGTTCATCATCACGCGTCGGGCTTGGGTCTTGTGGCTCAGGAGTGAAGTTTTCGTCAGAAGGGCTCGGCGGGTCTGTTGTTTTGGTTTCGGCTGAGGAAGAGAGGAGAGGAAGATTTCGAACCAGGGGCTTTTGCAGATGGATGACATCATCAATAACTACAAGAAGATGGTTATTGGAGAGGAGGATAATGAGCTCCATTTTGATGTGGAAGAAGCAGGGGATTTGAATGCGGCTGATGATCAGATGGGGTTCCCGGTGGTTGGTGCGGTGATTACCGACTGGAAAATCAATTTTCTGGTGTTCCAAGAGCTGTTGGCCTCAATTTGGCATCCCGGAAAGGGAGTTGCAATTAAGGAAATTGGAGATAAAAGGTACCTTTTCAATTTTAATCATGTCTTGGATATGAATCGTGTACTGGAGGATGGTCATTGCCCTTGGTTGTTTGAAAGAGATTTAATTATGTTAAAAGCTGTTCAACCAAATGATATTCCTGAAAAGATGAATTTGTTTGAGGCTGAATTTTGGGTACAGGTTCACAATGTTCCTCATAAGTTTAGGAATTTGGGTTTTGCTAGAAGAATTGGGAACTTTATTGGCTCTTTTATTAGTTTTGATAACAACCAATTTGGTGGTAAATGGAAATCGTACTTGAGAATTAGAGTTTGTATGGATGTTAGGAAACCCCTGGAGGAGGGTACTACTCTGAAGAAGGAAGGAAAGGGACATTGGGTAGATTTTAAATATGAGAAATTACCCCATTTCTGTTTCATGTGTCGGGTGATTGGGCACTCAGATAGATTTCGTCCTCTGATCGAGATATGAGGAGGGGATTGTTCTTGAGAAATCCTTTAGGGTAGAACTCAGGGCTGGTGGGGGGTGAAGACTAGCCCTACAGGGACTAATAAGTGGCTAGTGGATGATTCTTCAAGCTCCGGGGGATTCTGGCAACAGCGGAAGACTAATCGATCTCGGGGATGAGCACTCGGCAGAGACTGGTGCTAGTATGTCAAATCAGGGGCAGGCAACATGGAAGAGGTGCCAGGCGAGACGAAGCATAGGAGGATTTGGGAAGGACAGCCAAAAGGAATCACAGCTGGTGAGGGCATGCGCTTGATGGACCAAAAAATGGGGAGGCTGAATTATGATCTCCTAGACCCGCCGGTGGTACACTTGGTACGTGATTATGATCAGATGATCGAGTGCTGGATTTTATTTTATTGTTTCTTTTAGTTGTTATTTCCACGGTCAGACTTTTAATTATGTTTTGTTTCTACTCTTTCTTTTGTTGTAAAACTCTTACATTAGGTTTGGGGGTTGAGAGGTCTACGGTAATCGTCGTTGGCTTTATTTTGCCCAAGTTAGGTCTAGCGAGTTATATTGCTTTGTCAAAGGTGATTAACTCAGAGTCTCGGCCAAGGGCGGATGGTTACATGTGATCCTTTCGCTATCTTTCACCCCGGCAAAATGCTATTTTTTCAATGTAAGCACCATTCGATAAAAAAAAGTATAAAATTTATAAATTATATACAAATATAATAATTAAAATCATAATCTAAAGTTTGTCATCATTACCAAGAAAAGTCAATATGGCAAACATTTTCGGGACGGAGGTAGTATTTGTTATGTTTTAATGAATTTTGAGACTTTATAGATCAACTTTCAATGTAGTTTCTCAATATGTAACTTTTAATTTTGGAAAAAGTGGCAAATCAACCCTCGAACTAATTTCAAAAGTGCAAATCACCCCTTTTATAGGAGGCCCTGTCCTGCCGTCACCATTTGGGGCAGTTCCCGGTGGAATTTTTTGATGAAATATTTTGAGCTTCTTCATTAAGTCTAGTTTACTCATACCAAATTTCTGGTAAAAATTCAATCAGGAAGGCAGTCAAATGATTTTCTAAAATATACTGTATTATTTAACCGCGCAGTTTGAGAATGTGAAGCACATAAATATCTTTGATTTGGTATAGTTTGTCTCACAAAACTTATTATGAGTCAAAAATTACAACTACCAAAAAATGAACACTATCAAAACTTGAAATGGGTAACATTAATTATATTCTTAAATTCCATAGATAAAGTCTTATTCGCCCATTAACTATGTCAAATGTGTAACAATTTATTATATATCAAACAAATAATTCATTGTATCTCACTTAAACTAACACTTAGCTCACTTACATATGAAATATTCAACTCAAGTATTGTCTCATGTAACTTGTTTGCCCGACTCCATTCAACCGAATACCCCAATAGTTCGAGTTAAGGTTCCAAGATTTTTGTAGTTGTGATCAGTCTTTCATTTTCTATCATTTGCAATGGAGTCAAAGACCTACTATTTTTTGGCTTGGAAATATAATGGAATGAAGCAAAATGATTCATTAAACTGTCCACGCTTCTTTTTTTATTACGAAGCAGCAGTCAGTTCATGTAATTTTTGACGCGATTCTCACTTTGGGTCATCCGGAAACAGTCTCTCGGTGCTTTAGTAAATGGGGTAAGAATGTGTACATTCGACCCCCTTACCCCACCATTGGTGGGAGCCTTTGCGGCACTGGGGTAATGATGATGATGATCCGTCTTTCATTGCAATAATAACAATGACATTCAAGAAAAAAATATACAAACTTCCGATACATATAGTTAGAACTTAGAAGTACCAAAATTGCTCAGTACAATTTAATTTACCTTTCCTAATAGGAAACTGCATACCTCATCTAATCGTACGCAAACAAATACACCTGTGAGATACATAATACAATACTCCGTATATGAAATGCACTTTGCTTACTCATCGGCTTAGCCATATCATCACCCCCGCCCATATGTATATCTGCCAACTATACTGCAACTGCTGAGATACTACTCTAGACTTGTTTGTAGAAAAGGATGTATGCCTGATCATGCAGCACCTTTCCTGCACCAATAGTGGTGACTGTGGCATCATCAAACCGTAACCATTTCCCGTCAGGGTAGCGGGCATCAGCCGTATAGTGTCCCCTTGATGCTTCCCTCCCGTGGTGGGTTATCGTTGAAACCAGTTCGTATTTCCGACTCTGCAGAATAACAGTCAATAAATCAATAAACAAATAATACACCTCGGGAATTAATCCTTTCTATCCGCATCACCACCGTAATTCCAACTGTGTTGGAGAATCTACATTGTGCCTTCAGATGTACCGTGAGCATGATAACTCAAAATGAGCGTTCTTCACATGTAAAATGATTTCTTATGTGTGCAAATAAGAATGATATTGGTTAATTATCAATGTAGTACTTGAAAGGTGAAAGTTGTCCATATAGGGCCCAATGAATGAAAACTGTCAATCTGAGACTTAAATTATCATGAATTTTTTATTTTTTTTTTATTTTCACAACTTTAAAATTTAACTTTATTTAACTAATAAACTTTAGAAAAAATCATCAAAACTTGGTAATAGAATAAATAAAAATGAAATAAATTAAAATCCATGATATTTTAGGTCTTTGATGGATAATTTTTATCTTTGAAGTTATGGATTGAAAGTTCAACTATCTTTGAGGTCCCGGATTGATAAAATTCAAAAAACACACAAAGAATTGGACATTCTTCATTTCTTCATATACAAAATGAGTAATTGTAAAAAATTACATCGCTGGGTGTAAAATTACATCTGCAAGTACGATATAAATTGCCTATGTTGTTTTTGGGTTTAAATCATCTGTTAATTGTCTAACATAAGTTAATACTGAAAGTACCTTTTTCAAATTTCAAAACCAATTTTTGTTGTTTTAATTCACATAATTGCATGGGAGCAGAGTAGTCAAAAGAGCAAATGGAGATCTCCATTGTTGCCATTGGTGTTTGGAGAGGGCTTTGCCACAATATCTGCGCTTTTGCCATAGCCTGCGCCCTCCGCCATATGCACTCTATTTGAGTGTTTTTAAGATTTATTTAAAAGGCCTGTATTAATTAGGCCAGAATACTGATATTTTTAGACCACAAATGACCAAGACTAACATGTGAGACTTATCAAGAACTAATGGCTAATACCAAAGAATAAACACGGCGTGATGAATCCAGTCTCTATAAGAGAGTTATGCGACCAGCAATCACCTAGCGAAAACCAGGTAAGTGCGATGTATATTATACTGTATGTTGTACGTAGTATATAATATGTATATGTAGTTGTATACTGTATACTATGAATGTTATATATATATATATATATATATATATATATATATATATATATATATATATATATATATATATATATATATATATATATGGTGCATTTCCTTATCATCAGAAGCTATGTATATCATCCTTATCTTTATTTCATTATTATGGGAGTTGATGTGTTGGCTGTAATATGTGGTTCCTTATCACCTG